TCTTAAACATGTCGCTGGGTAACATCAGCGTGCTATGAACCTCAGGCAAATTCAGAGGGGAAGCGAGGACCAGGGGAACTCTACGAGGCCGAGAAAAAGAACAAAGGCAAACAGAAACCTACATGGGGAACCTTCAAAATAAAACAGGAAGTTGACTGAATGAGAGGCCGTGTGTGTGATTCATGGAGGCAGGAGTTTGAATGTAAACAGAGAACTGAAACCAGCACCTCAGACAAACAACAGGCTCACTTTGAGTCGTAGCAAACTGAAAACCATCCCTCAGATCAACTGAAAGATTTCAGCGCTCATAAAGCCTACACATTCAGAATCAGCCAAAGCCAAAAAATAAACTTTAAGTTAAACCACCAACGCAGCATCTCCCACAGAGCTGATGTTAAACTGCACGAAGAAGCAGGAACCCATCCTCAAATCTCCCCAGGAAGCAAACAAACATGGCCAACGACACAGAGAATGATGAGGTGAGAGAGGAAGAGGAGGAGGAGTCAGGAATGGATGCCTCCCATCGGTGTCCTGGGCTCGGCAGGCTGGAGAGATTTTGTATCTCATCTGGCCTGCGAATGCCTCGGGACCCCACGAGGACCTGCGAAGTGTGGCTGGAGTAACTGCTCGGCCTTCTGCCTCCACAACCTGACTCTGGAGAGCAGCAGGTAATGGGTGGATGAGACAGGTGTAGTTTAGCCCATACAGTCAGCAGCACCACCTGTATGATCTGTCTGATGCTGAATAATGAGCCGTAAACTCATCACAATACTCCCCACAAAAGTCCCTCACACCTGTCCTCTCTCACACCTGTCCCCTCTCACACCTGTCCCCTCACACCTGTCCTCTCACACACCTGTCCTCTCTCACACCTGTCCCCTCTCACACCTGTACACCCTCACACCTGTCCTCTCACACCTGTCCTCTCTCACACCTGTCCCCTCTCACACCTGTACCCCCTCACACCTGTCCCCTCACAGCTGTTTTTTTCACACCTGTCCCCTCTCAGACCTGTCCCCCTCACACCTGTCCCCTCACACCTGTTCTCTCTCACACCTGTCCCCCCTCACACTTGTCCTCTCACACCCGTCCCCTCTCACACCTGTCCTCTCTCACATATTTTCTCTCTCACACCTGTCCTCTTACACCTGTCCCCCCTCACACCTGTCCTCTCACACCTGTCCCCTCTCACACTTCCCCCCTCACACCTATCCCCTCACACTTGTCCTTTTTCATACCTGTCCCCTCTCACACCTGTCCCCCCTCACACCTGTCCCCTCACACCTGTCCCCTCACACCTGGTCTTTTTCACACCTGTCCCCTCTGACACCTGTCCCCTCACACCTGTTCTCTTTCACACCTGTCCTCTCTCACACCTGTTCTCTTTCACACCTGTCCCCTCACACCTGTTCTCTTTCACA